CTGGTAAATTTTACTAGACTTTGTGTTACTAGCCTGTCTGGTATCTTTTACTAGATTCCTAGTTGGTTCCTATTTTACTAGACTGTCTGGTACCTCGTACAAAGATCCTAGTAACTGCTACTAGTATTTTTTTTCAGTGTAGCCTCATAATGGGAAAAGAGGCAGAGATTGAAAAATAAATGTGAGCAGACCTTATGTCGATAGTGACTTAAATGTGAGTCTAACATACACAACATGCTTACCATGAGTTAAGTCCTGAAAACAGTCTCTTGAGACCAGCCATTAATCTCCAGGAGAATAGATGGAATTCAATGGAGTTCTCTTGACTGAAAAGAGTAAAAAAAATATTTTTAGCATCTTACAGGATCAAAGAAAAGAGCAAAACACAGGGCGGGCTACAGACCACTAAAAAAAAACAAAAAACAAGGAATAAAATAGATGAGTATACCTGGTTGTAGATAGAAGTCGTGTGGAATGGGGCAAACTGCTCAAAGTTGAAGTCCTCAAACAATCTCTCGAGTCCGGAACCTAGAAAACACGGGAAGCAATTAGATCACCTGAGATGGTGTACCAAATTCAAGTGCACGCAAAAGCAGTAGTTAGATAAGCGCATTTATTGAAAGAAACCTAACAAATTAAGAACACTCTGAGCCTAAATCAGTACAGGCCAATCTTGATTCAAGGTATTTTAATTTATATCTGATTCTTTCAAAAAGGTGAAATTGATTTTGTAATACCAGTTAAAAACATAGTCTCTCGCACCTCTACACTGAAAAAAAGGACTGGTAACAGATACCAGACAAATCCTAGTTAAATGGATGCTAGTGATTACAACTAGGATAATGCTAAGCTTTACTACAAGTTTAGTATCGTATACTAACACAGGTATAGTTAGAGGTACCAGCCGCCTAGTAACTGAGTCTGGTTAGGTTTACTAAACTGTATAGTAATTTTTCCTAGACTGCACGTTTACTAGGCTATGCCTGTGGTCCAGCGGCGGTGGCATCACACTCGTTACGCACGCCTCTCTCCTCAGGTAGTCACCGTAGCCGAGTGCTCTAGGGTGCGGACTTCCAAGGCAAAGGTCCGCGGTTCGAAACTCGGTCAGGGCTTCGAAATTCCGTGGGTTAACGAGTACCCGATGTAACCGTAATAACGGGCAGACATCTTCTATATTGCATTCGTAAATTTTTTGAACACTTTTTGGAAAGAAAATTTGTGCTATCTGTAACTAAGCAGTCTGGTAAACGGTACTAGGAATCGTAAAAATGTGCAGTATCTGTAACTCGACATCTGGTAAATTTTACTAGACTTTGTGTTACTAGCCTGTCTGGTATCTTTTACTAGATTCCTAGTTGGTTCCTATTTTACTAGACTGTCTGGTACCTCGTACAAAGATCCTAGTAACTGCTACTAGTATTTTTTTTCAGTGTAGCCTCATAATGGGAAAAGAGGCAGAGATTGAAAAATAAATGTGAGCAGACCTTATGTCGATAGTGACTTAAATGTGAGTCTAACATACACAACATGCTTACCATGAGTTAAGTCCTGAAAACAGTCTCTTGAGACCAGCCATTAATCTCCAGGAGAATAGATGGAATTCAATGGAGTTCTCTTGACTGAAAAGAGTAAAAAAAATATTTTTAGCATCTTACAGGATCAAAGAAAAGAGCAAAACACAGGGCGGGCTACAGACCACTAAAAAAAAACAAAAAACAAGGAATAAAATAGATGAGTATACCTGGTTGTAGATAGAAGTCGTGTGGAATGGGGCAAACTGCTCAAAGTTGAAGTCCTCAAACAATCTCTCGAGTCCGGAACCTAGAAAACACGGGAAGCAATTAGATCACCTGAGATGGTGTACCAAATTCAAGTGCACGCAAAAGCAGTAGTTAGATAAGCGCATTTATTGAAAGAAACCTAACAAATTAAGAACACTCTGAGCCTAAATCAGTACAGGCCAATCTTGATTCAAGATATTTTAATTTATATCTGATTCTTTCAAAAAGGTGAAATTGATTTTGTAATACCAGTTAAAAACATAGTCTCTCGCACCTCTAGCCTCATAATGGGAAAAGAGACAGAGATTGAAAAATCAATGTGAGCAGACCTTATGTCGATAGTGACTTAAATGTGAGTCTAACAATGGATACCTCGTTACTTCGAAATTATCCAAAAGCCGTAGACTGCTTCGAATTCGTTCAAAATTGATAAGTGAACGACATAACCTAACCAGTCGACGGTATATCTTCACCATTCGAACGTTTCACATGTACATACACGTTCCAGGCTATTTTTAGCCCGCCCTTCTGCTTTTAAAAAAGCATTAAAGCGGGCTTATGCAACCGCTCTCGTGTCCGTCCGTCCGTCCGTCGTCCGTGTAAGAGGAAGGAGATGAGCTAGAGGTCTGCAAATTTCAGGGTATCTTAGGGGTCACTCCTGGACAACGAAACGCCTGGTGCAAATCCTGGCAACCACCCCTAAGGGGGTGAAAGGGGGTAACAAAGAAATAGGGGTTGGTCTAAAAAGTAGGAAAAAAATATTTTTTTTTATGGTCTCCTAAGGGGTAACTCGTAAAAGTAGAGCCCTTTGGGCGAAAATTTTGTCCGTTCGACTCTATCTTGCACCGTTTGGGCGCTAGAGTGCTTTTTTCGACCGAAATACGGAGAAAATGACTACGTTGCACATAAAGACGTACTAGGTGGCTTCCAATCGTAAAATGGAAGAGGAAGTACCCCCCCAAAACAACACATTCTGAATCAGGAACTACCCTCGGATTTGCCGTATCTTTCACTGTTTCGGCCCTAGAGGTGGATATATTGAAAACAATGGCAAAAAGTCAAGTTTTAAGACTGTTTGACAAACAATACAATGTAAAAACTGCGCTGGTTCTTTTTTTGTATTTTTCTGAAGCAAAGCAGAAGGGTGGGGTGTAGTCACGGTGTTGCCCCGTTACAGTCTTTTGTCATGTGAAAGGAGCAAATCTCTAGGGCCGCAGGAAATATGCAAAGTGATTTACCGGTCACATTATTTATTTGGTTATGATCTTCAGTAAATCGCGGGACTGAAATGGTCGGGCCGCAGGCCCGACCATCGCCGCCGGCAGGCCAAGCAGGCCCGGCCCCTGCCGAACGGAGTTGCCGGCGCAGCGAAGTGGAGCCGGCAACTGCGTTTGGCGGAAGGGCGGGCCTGCTTGTTTCGTTAAGCAGAGCAATAAAAGTGAGGGATGAAGCCTCTAGCATATAGCAAAGCAGTTATTGCCAGAACATAAGACATGCCAGATCAACAATCAGAACAGAATCGATGCGAAGCTCAGAGAACCTGTTGCCTGCATTGAGTTTACCTTAACTTCTTTGAAAATGATATCAGAGAGAATAAGACGTTTCTCTCTACGAAGTTTACTCTTTCGTTCATTCAAGTACTTGACAAGACCATGAATAAGTTAGATAAGATAAATGGTGCAGAAACCGAACCGAACAGAAAACAACAACAACTGTTGGCTAAAATCGAAGTATGAAAAATTATTCAAGAAGGCCAGAAACAATTGAATGTGGATGTGCGTCAATTGAACTTTCCCTTTTGTTTGTCGTCTGCTGCGCAGGCTTAGAAAACAAAGAAACAACCACGGCAGCAAAGCAAGGCAGCACGGAGTGCTTGAGTGCTTGTGTTGAGGCTTTAACTGGATAACTACTACTAGTTGATTTGCGATGCAAGACAATCTCTTTAGTGGTGTTGGATTTTATTCAAGTCTTACCTTTTGTGACCCGTTGGAGACAGCGCTCGGATCCGATAGTACGGCACCCCCAAACCCAAATGGATTTGGATAACCTATCATGGATAACATGGATAGCACTTGCTCACTCGCCCCAAAGACAAACAGAGGTAAGTAATTTGGGGGAGGTACTAGCAAAACTATTGAAGTTTGTTTGCTATTTGAGCTGCTTGACAGAGAAAGCCTCTCTCTATCAATAAAAGCATAATCAGACACCCCTTTAAGTGATAGAAATTTAGATGATGATGTCTTTGCCTTGGCCTGAGATAGACTTTTGGTATAGAGTTCTGTTTGGGTCAGTCACTTTGTGTCTAACAAGGCACTAACGACCAGTGTTTTGAGTAATCTTGAATGGATATTGATCCAATTCCTAATACTTGTTTTTAAGCCAACTGTGCATGTGATTATTGCTCCCAAGAGTTTTGTTCTGATTTACAATATATTTTGTAATCTCACAACACGATATGGTTCGTACTTCAAGGTAACTCAAAGTTGTATAATTACGATATGGTCCGTACTTTGACCTTACTGAAGGTTCTATAGGTACGATATGGTTCGTACTCCAACAATACTCAAGTTGTTCAGTTAAGATATAGTTGTACATGTACGAGTCAGTTGTAGGGTAAGGAGTACGACAAAAGTAATTCACATAAGGTACGACTTAAGTTGTCTGTGTACGATATCTGGCATGGAAAATTTTCCCGTACCCTGTACGACTATTTCTCACAGTGATACTATACCATTACAAGTATCAAAGTACTTCGCAGAAGCAGTCCGTCATTTACCATCTGCGAAAAAGTGGCAGTCTGCACAAAGGAATTTATGGAATGTATTTACATAATGACACCAAGAGAACAAATTCTCAGTAAGGTTCAAGAAATATGTACATGACTTCAACAACATTTGTTACAAGACACTTTAACATTAGGGTGATTCTCAGAATACGGGCCATTTGGGAGTTCCTAAAATTTTTATTTTTTTTGTCGAATTTGCTAGGTTTTTGGGTCGCAATGGTTTTATTTACTTTCAAATAAGATACGTGTAAAGTGGCGATAGTTCAAATCACGTACTTCTAGTAAAACGTTAAAGGACCATATTGTGGTCACGTTCAATCAATGATAAAACTCAAATATTGCCTCCCGCACCTTTTAACTAGTCTTTTGTTTGCTCCACTAGTGTGTCGTACTCATATTTTACATCCAGTCATCCCCATTTTATGCGTCTTAGTATGACTAGATCATTGCAATAAATAACTTGTTTTTCGCCCCGACACTGCTCCACAGATGCCCAACCTCATAATGTACAGTTCTAAATTAACCCCTTACTACATATTTACTCATTAGGTCATTACAACGCGTTACCTGTAACTAAAAGTTATTAAACAAAGGTCAGACCTACAAAAGTGGATACGGAGTTCACACGTCAGAAGGTACTAATTGAAGCATTACTAATCCGGGGTTGCAGATGCAAGGATCCGCTTAGCCACAAAAGAAGCAGCACATCAAAACCTTCCTTTTCATCGAAAGGGGGATTTGATATGACGCAATCGTGCCGCGTACCAGCCAACTTTCGAATTTGAAGACAGTTTTTGACGATGACGAAGTAGGAGCTCTGCCGATTGCTTCGGGGAACATTAATAGTCCCTACAGAGTAGTACTGTGGGCGTAGAATTGTTACTCTACCTCTGCCCAGTTTGACGTCAGTGCAAACATTGTGAACTCCGTTACTTTTTGAAAAAGTTAGTGATAACGACTTTGGTCGTCTCCTGACGAAATATAGAAAAATATTTAAACATCGAAATTCATTCCTTGCGTTCCCTGGATATGTCACTCTAGAAATGCAATGTGCCTTAGACGACTATTCCCTTAAAATTGTCCGGAATTTGGCAAAGTCCACATGAACTCAGACATTAGGAACGTACTGGAGTTCACATTTTGACCATTTAAACTGCTCTAGTCACCTACTGTTGCAGTATTCTTAGGTTTTTAGTGTTGCACCAGGTAGTATTAGTGCTTTCGAGTATCTAGATGGTATAAAAACCTTTTCAAACCATATCACATAGTTGTGAAGGGCCGCGGAATCTAAACGGCCCGTAATCTGAGAATCACCCATTACTCACTCAAAGGGAGCCCAAATACATTAACACACTAAATGGATGAGCATCTAGGAGAAATCAGCTATTCGTACTAGCATATTTACAGGAGCTATTTAAACAATCGCACCTGGTAAGAAGCAACTCACTAACGTTCACTAAATGTCTACATGGACGACACTACGGATGTATTGTCCTAATTACACTTAGAAAAAAAAGGAAGTTCTACAAATATCAACATGAATATCACACAATTAATTACTCAACAATAGCTCAAATAAATTAAGGCACTAAACTAATGAACAACCTGGTAGAAAGAAACCCACTACCGTTCATGAAATGTCTACATCAATGTGACAACACTACGGCTTCATATTCATTATCAAACTTAGAAATAAAAAATAATCTGGAGTTCAAGAAATATCTACATGAATTTTACAACATTAATTGAGTAGTTCTTTTTATCCTT